ACGCAGTCACTAAAAACATATGGCGGATATACACTGGCCATCAGGGAATTGATTCTCTCTGGGGCATTAAGTACTATCTCAGTTTATGAAGAAGTTTGGTTTAGACTTAAAACTTTTATAAAGGTTCTACAATTATTTTACAGTTGGTAAATAAATTATAAATATTTCTTATTCTTTCTTTATCAAAGAACCTTTATATAATTACTTTGTACTTTTTTAATTTTTTTTATCGGACAGGAGAACATACATTATCTGATGTTCATGATGGATCGCCCAGATATAAAGAAACCATCGGTTGGGGAGTGTAATCAGGGCATTGTCGTTAGCTTGGTTGGTGGGTCATAGTCGTCATCCATCGCGTATCGTGATGTTTGCACTTAGTATATGTATGCTGAAAACTGCTTTTTATTATCGTGCATTCGGTGTTGTTGGTGCGAGTATTGCCTTTGCTTGGTTCATTATTATGACGTATTGTCTTTTGTATTGTGCCGACAGACCAACTACAATAACCGACATAAAAAACTTGCTGCCGTTGCGGTTATGTTTTCGCATCTGTTAAACGAGCACAAAGGCTGTGTCTGCCACTTCACTTCCATCCGAATCTCTCATCTCCAACTTGTTCGGAGAACCTAAAAAAAAGTAATAAAAAATCTTAAAACTTTTTCATTCAAAAAGCGATTTATAACAAAAAACACCTATAAGGCGTATCAATTCATTTTAAAAAAGATACTACACTGTTTGATAGTAGCATTTATTATCAGATTATTTCAGCTTAAACAATATTCTTTCTGTGTACTTGGTTCTCCAGTCGGAAATCTTGGGCGTGGAAGTGAGCAGAAGATGCAGATTGAGCTTGCCGCAATGAATATTGATGCTGATGCAGAAAGACAGAAAAAACAGAGGGGGAGCTTAAAGATATAAGAGATATGAGCAGCATAATTATAAAACTGACCAATCCGGACTGCTTAGTAGGCAAAAAATGTTGTCGATCCGATAAGCGGCCAGAGATACACACAAAGTTTTCAGTTTTTATACTGCTAGACACACACAATTCTCTTTGTTTGCTCAAATGATGCGTAATTCTCTTAACACACCAGACTATCATTAACTTATTTTCCTTATGACCCAATGTAAATGAATCATTAAGAACGGCGACCACTTCAATTGATCCACATAATCGTTGATCGTTGTGTTGGCGTATTCACACGATTACATTGCATGTCAGATCTGAACAATATTTTATATCTGAAATATAAAGATGGTGAATATTTTTGAGCTATAGATATGAACTTTTTTTTGTGATTTGATTCAAACAAAAAGTGGTTCATATTTAATGAATATTTTATGGCTATGCATAGTGTCCAAATTTATTTGGTAATGTTATGTACATATAAGGTCTTGTTTTATTTGAATTTATTTTGAATTTACTAGATAGGATTTGATTTGATATTGAATCAATTTGTTTTATAATGTGATATCCCCTTTTTCATATGTTCATTTAATAAAAAGCTGGATGAGTAAACAATGCTCCTTATTGTTATCAATACTTAAATGAAATCAAGCTGAAACCCCATTTGTTTACAAGTGACATGCCTTTAAATCCTATTTCCGTACTTCCCTATAAGTTCCCCCTGAAGACTTTGAATATTGCATTATTTATAAGCTATCAGTCAGTTGAATTCCACAAAGTATATTATGCATTTGTTCATTAATGTGAGCCATTGAAGTACATATGTACATATGTATATGCAACGCAAGGAAACTCAATTATCTTGTGTATGATATTTCACTTATCACTTACACAGACCTCGACAGTCGGCATAATTCACTCACTTGACTCACTCACTCCGTATTCCGGACAACTGAAAACGCCACGGAGATCTCCTCTCGAAAGTGTCACAAAAGAGTTGGGTTTGTGGGAATATCGCGGAACTGGTTTCTTCTGTAGGGCAGAGCGCATCGCATCTTTCGAGACTTCCCTTCCCATACGTAACAAACGGAAAACAAATCGCATATCTGCCGACGACACACATATAATATTGTGATAAAATACTGTTACAAAAGCAAATCAAATGCGGCAAAAGACAAACAAAACGGCTAAAAAAGAGCAGTATGAAAAATGTATAAAAAATTGGCCGACATATTTCATTTTTATGAATGAAAAAAAAAGAGGCAGCCAGCGGCATGGCAAATAAACAAAGTTAACAATAAATGAGAATGATTCATCTGAATAAAATGACGAGTTTGTCTGACTGTCAATGAACAATACGCAGAATACGCACGGCAAATACTAAGTTATAAAAATCGGAAACTATTTAGCGCCGATTCGTGGAAATGTATGCTAATGCGTTTCGCCGGTTTTTTATTGTCCTCATTTGTGACTCTTTTTTTTTTTTTGTTTTTTGTTTGGCCTATTGATTATGTAAATGAGCGGAATAAAAACAAACTGATATAGCGCATGCGCAACGCCATTATATAAGGTAATCCATAGACCCTAATGGACCGTCGATTCCGAGAGCGTCCATCAATCACGGGGCAAAGTTAGTTGAAAAAGGTAAAAATCATCGAATGATAAAGTAAACAATAAACCACAATTACTCATACCATTAAGGTACGTATTTTTGGTACGTAATTTTGGGATCGTAGGGTTCGCAAACACAACTCCGATCCACGACGATATTGCTTATCTCTCCAATATCAACAGACGTAAACACTTGTTCCGCTTTCGGTTACTACTGCTGCTGTTGTTTTTGTTGTTCCTGCGGTATCTGCGGTTGTTTATATTTTTGTTTTAATAGCATTCCTCGTAATTAATGCAATCAATAAACGATTTGTACGCACTTCGCCTTAATCACACCAAAAAACAAGCAAAAACCAAATGATTAGTAATTGATAATTGTTATCAGGCAAAGTTTTGGCCAAGAGTGCGAGGTGATCATTAAAGAGCTAAGAACCCACTATCATTTCGGCCTCCAAGGAGTTCAAATGATCACTATAAAGAAGCCGCAAACAAGTGTAGTTCAAATTTGTTACGATAAGATAAGAATATCTTCCATATTTTTTTTGGTTTTGGTTTTACATTCAGCGGCACGTTTTCTCTGTTTTTATTTACAATGCAAAGTTCGTTTGATAACTTGTCGTTCGGCAAGGGTTCACTGTAGAGTTTATTTGGCTTGGGTTGGGTTTGCTGCTGGCATTGCTTAGGTTGTTCACATCGCCTTATTTGCTCACTTGAAGTCGAGCAAACACATTGGGAGATATCAATAAACTAACGAACCTGGGAACTTGGCAAAACCTTGACCAACGATAACCCATTAAAGGTTCAATTGCTCTTTTTATAGGTTTGCAGTTGATAGGAAAATGCAAATAATTATTCATAAAAATATTAAAGAATTTCGTTATTCAAACTTTAAAGACAATTGTTTCCTTTTATATTGTAGCCTCCAAGAAGATACAAAGTTTTTTGTGAAATTAAGTTTTAAAGTCTTCTTTAAACCAACTTCTCAGCATTTATTTTTCGTTAATTACTTCTATTTAATGTTTATCGTATGCAAAGCACCATTAGGTATTCTAGGAAAGATCTGCTCATCTTAGCCTCTCTGTTTTCTCCAACATATTAGATACAAATGTCTGGTGTGAGTAATTTACAGCATTTAAGGTTCCAACCTCTCACTTCGGATTTCTCCATTTGTGACAGTTCATGCGGGTTCCATCATCATATAAATTGTCGTTGACTTATTTTTTATTTCAATTAACCCAGACTTTCCAGTGTTTTCCTTTTATTTTTGTTTTAAAACCCTATCGCTGCACTCCCTTTTCGAACAGCGATATTCTTTCTAAATGCAACACTTATCGGCTGTCGTTTCTCTCGTTAGTCTGTTTTTTTGTTTTTCTCCTTTTTTTCTCGGGCAATTTACACCACATCTGAAAAACGAAAATAGAGCCAGACAGCCATCGCATTATAGTATAGTTCATTGTCAAGCGATTTTAGCCCCCACCTCGCCATCCCATCGCCTTCTCCATTTATTGTTGGCTCTTGGAGTTTTCACTTTTTAAGCGCCAGCTTTGGAGAGATGCAGAGGAGAGTGTTGCTTTTAAAGCATTAATTGATTGAGTTGAGTTTTATTTTTCCCCCTTTCGTCGTATTCCAGCCTGCCTTGCTTGGCTTGTCTTGTCTTTTGGTGCTGTCTCTGGTTTGGCTATGGTTTTTTCTTTATTTTTTGGTTTTGGTTTGGTACCTCTATCAAGTTGTGTAATGTGGACGCTTAGGAGGTTGCCAACCAGTTTTTCCTCTTCCCCAGCTGCAGCTGAATGGAAGGCCCGCAGACTTGGCTCAAACAACAACCATTTGTTTCGAAAAATCATTAGGCACGCCAAAATGAAAGTGTGAACAGAGAGGAGCTGCTCTGACTTTCTTTGCCTTGCCGGCTTGGCCAGCCGTTGATTTCGATGGGTAACTCAGCCAGACAAGTAGTAGTTCACCTGAGAATGAGTCAGTGCACTTCTGTAATGGTAATAAAACAAAAAAATAGCATGACTAACGACTGCCCTGCCAGCTCAACCCGCCCAACTGATAACACATCTCAACAAATATTTATAAAATCTACAATCAAATTGTTCATGGCCTGCACTCTAACATAAGTAGGCATTTAAATCTGAATAATAAGGCAAAGGAATCTCAAAATTCTTACAAAAGTTATACCCACTTACTAATTTTTAGATTTTACAATTAGCTTGCTCTAAAAGTGGGCCATACAAATATTAAATGTTACTTTTAAAGTTTCAATTATAATTTATAAACTATGTTAATATCAATGTTTTATTGATTAAGGTTTTTGACGTTGTGGGTTTTTACTTCTTTTACCAATGTGGGTTCTTACGTAAACGAAACCAATTTGCTTCCATGAGAAACATAGTTTCTTTTAGTGTACCTTAGATATTTCTAAGATTAAAGTACCGGCATTTTTCTAAAGAACCTTTCTCTTTTCTCTCTTTTGCAGACTCTTCGGTTCGCTGCCGAAATACACACAGCATCTTTTAGTTTTACTGTTCGGCACATTCCGGGTCATCGCGAGCAATGCGGCCCACGCCTCCACCGGAATGACCAGCGAGGCGCTGGGCGTGTCCGTGGCCCCCAGTTTCTTTCAATCCTGCGTCAGCGATGGCAAGACCGCTCGCATGGAGGATGTGCTCAAGTTCAAGGTGAGTTCGGGGTACTTCTTCTATTATTTATATACAGTTTTCTTATATGTATATAATTTTAGGTCTCCACCAAGATCATGCAGAATATAATTGATAAGTTTGCCACACACGACATTTTTGGGCGGGACAATTACGAGTACTACGCCCGCGTCACCGGACGCATTCTCAAGGTGCAGGACGAGTGGATATGCAGTTTCCAATATCCACCACCGCCACGTGGCAAGTTGGCTCAACAGAAATACGCATGTAAGTAAAAATGAAGTTATTTTTAATGAAAATTCAGATTAGAAACTAAAGATCAAGCTATAAGTATATTTAATGAGGGACGGAAACGAGATTATTTGTTTTGAGAACATCAATCAACATTAAAAATGACTCATTGATTAAGTGGAAGATCTGTTTTATATACATATTGTATCCCAAAATTCAGTTTTGATTATTGAATGAACTCACTTGGAAGTTTTGTTGGCAAATTAAGTATTTGTTTAAATAGATTGTACTTAACGTGAATCTAGTTAAGCTGTGACTCATTCTGCATGGCTCTTTAATTTGTTTATTAATAGCTACATGAACCATCCAAACTCGCTTTCAAGTGCAGACTTTGAAGCAGAGAAATTCTTGAAATGTCTCTTCTTTCGCTAATAAGTTCTTATCGCCTTCGCAGTGCAACATTCTTTGGAGGCGGAGAAGACCTGGCTGCAATGCCAATGCGAGCGTTGGGGCTTACGTGAGTACCTGAAATGTGTTACCTTGCCACCTATCCGTAGATATATAGAATACATAGCTGGATTCATACTCTATTGTGCTTTGCTTCTGGAGAAGTCCACCACTTTTTACATTATACCACACTGTCCGATCTAACTTCTGTCTTTCCCCCTCTCTTTCTGTCTGTGTGTGTGTGTTTGGGTGTGTGTGGGGGAATGCGATTGAAATATAGATGTATCCGATAACTGATAAGCTCATCTCTGGTCATCTGGTGTCCCGAAGAGTCAAGCTTTATAGTCCCCACCCGCACCGCAATCATACATACCCTATATACTATATACTCTATATCTACTATATAGCTGCATGCCAAGTAGTTTTGTTTGTCACCCTCCTCCTCCTCCTTTCTCATTCTGACGAGTCATCCAAAAATGCATTTGTTATAACCCCCCGCCGAACCGAATTTAGTGGCCCAGGAGGAGTCCCGCTCGACGCCCGCCCTGCTGACCAGCTCCAGTTCGGCGCTGGAGAACAGTGTCCTCTCGCTGGGCGTCTCGCCGGAGCACTCGTTCATCGAGAGCTGTGCCCGCCTCTCCGTTTCGCTGGAGGGACCCGGCATCTTTGCCATGACTTCGTCCCCGCTGCCGGCGAAGCGGAATGGCAACGGAAACGGCAATGCCACGGACTATGACTACGATGACTATGCCGACGACGACGAGGACAACGATGAGTTGGACGGAGTGCATGACTTTGGTGCCGAGCTGGAGATTAGCAGCATAGCGCCGCCGCAGGGCAGCCGCGGCATCTATCGCCACAAGCAGCGCGTGCAGCAGCCATCGCATCACTACCAACAACAGCAGCAACAGCAGCTGCAGCAACAGCAGCAGCAGCAGGTGCAGCCGCATCAGCGGGACTACGAGGACGACGACGACGACGATGAGGACGAGATGACCTACGTGAAGCGGCGCTATCGACAAAACAAGAAGAAGCCAGCGCCGCCGAGCAGCAGTCATCATCAGAGGCGGCTGCGCACGGGAACCAAGAGTTTGGACGGCGGCGGCGGCGGAGAACGACATCGTTCGGCATCGGGAGCCGGAGGATCCGGATCAGGAGTAGCAGCTGGCCAAGGAGGAGTAGCAGCGGCTGGGAATCCCACGCCACCGAAGCTCAAGCAGCGAACCTGCAGTCGCTGCAATCGTGGAATTCGACACAGCAGCTCTTGCAGCTCGAACTCGGCCGGAGCAACGGGCTCCGGCAATGGAGGAGGCTCCGGAGGATCCGGCGGAGCTGAGGGCGGCGGCGGCATGACCATGGAGGAGCTGCGGGCCGTCAACCGATATGCGGAGAGCACCAAGAGCCTCTCGTATCTGCCACAGGTGAGGGACGAGTTCCTGTTGCTGGGCTCACGCATTTCCGTTTGAGATCTTGCGATTGCGTTGTGTAGAAACCTACTACCTACCACTTATTATTATTGATTATTATTGATATTATTGATATCGATCCGATCCTAGGTCTAACCCAAATGCTCGAATTTCTTTTAAGTTTCGGTTTCTTTCTTCCAGGAAACCAAAAAGAATCAAGAACCAAGAATTTACTAGTTGTTAAGTTACCTCTTTTGATTTCTTTTCTTTTTCTGTTGCGATTTTTCATTTATTGTAATTGAAATACCTTTTTGTAATACCCTAATTTAATCTCATTCGTTTCTTGTGTTTGAATTTTGTCAATTGGAAATGTTCTGCTCTCTAATCTCTGTCACACTCTCACTCCAACCTTGACTTTCTCTCTCTTAACTCGAATCACTTAGCGAATTGCTCAAAATTGTTTCATATTTGGAAATGTTTGCCTAGTTTTTCTAATATTCTCATCTAACCAAACAATTTGCGCCTGCCAACGAAAAACCACTACTACTTACACAACAACAACAACAACTACAACAATCAACAACACATTTTATATTATTGTAAGACATACGAAATTGAAGGAAATACACCCTTGATATTCCCTCAAAAACTGTACAAAAAGTACAAAAAAAAAAGATCAACATACTTCACCAAAACTCTGTACAAAAAGGACTCAAAACGGAGCAAAAATTTGATTAACATTTTTTATTTACATTTTGTGTTTATATTTTAAATTTATTATTCCATTTTTATTTTTGTTCTTACAAAGAAAACCAAACAAAAAACATTTAAAACGAAAACAACAAAATGTTAAATCATTTCAAGAAAAACATTAAACCATTTTATAAATACACTTTCTATGCCCAAAGACCTATTTTCACTAAATAAAAAACGAGTGCTATACAAAGTTGCAACAAAATAAACCCAAACACCAAATTGCGTATTTTATAATCCGAAAAATGGGAACGACAAATCTTAAAGAAATTAGATAATGTTTTGAACAATTGGAATAAAAGCTATTGGACCTGTAAATACTGTTTAATATTAGGAACATAAATTTTAGTTTGGCAGTTTGATGTGTTGAAAACATCCTCTAAATAAGGGAACTACAGAAAGTGATGACTTTTTAGGGATTAATATGATCGAGAGATAGGCAAACATATAAGGAAAGTGTTATGGAGGCGTGGATCCCCTATTCAATATTTTTTGGACACAGAAGATCTCGGATTAAGTATCGCAGAAGTATACAAACCTTTTCAAAAACTCTTGACACCGTTTATTTATATAGTTATCTATAGTCGTAGAACACCATGTACACCTTAGTTATTATTTACTGTACGTACTCAGTCTTATCATTTTCTGTACAAAAAAGAACTGGCATATCAGACGTAAACTAGACCACTGTGTATCATAAGCTACAGATATGATATTCTTTTGATTTTGTTCTAATCGTTATTTTGTAATATATTTATGTACACCTAAGAAACCCGAAAATATTGTTAACTGTGCACCAATTACTTCGATTTGTTGTCGCTTGTTTGTCTTGTCTATGTAGCTTAGAAGCCTGCTTTTGTCTTGCCTTTGTCTTTTGTCTTTGAGTTGTTTGCTGCACTCTGCATAATTATTTGTAGTTAATATACCTAACAAAATAACACTTAGTTGATAAGCGAAACGCGAGAACACGAGAATACAAAACATAATCATGCAAATACTACAAAACACGAGTCGAAAAACCCAAAATTGCATCTGTAATTAATCTTATTTTAGCCGGAATTCATTCTTGAATGTTGTTTCCTCCGCAAGATAAGCAATCAAAGGCTTGTTGGCGGTTGTTTCACTGAATGTTAATACTTAATTATAATTTGCTTGTTTCGAATATTAAGGGTATTCATGGTAAAGGATCTTCTTTCTTTATCACTAATTTTATTGTGAATACCCTCTAATATTTTCTTCATAATTTTACATAATCTTGCACTGTTTTCCACTGCGCTGATTTTGCTGCATTTTATATATATCACTATAACATCAAGTTTGTTAACACGTTATTATTTTTTGTCAACTTTTGTTTGTCTACTTTCGATTTTTTCATTTTGCCTTTTAAATTTTGTAACTTAAGTGAATCAAGCAAAAAATACAGCTAGCTAAAAACAAAAATTTCAATTGCCAAAAACTCTAATGCGATAATTTTGAATCCCCCCTCGTCTTTCCACCACCACCAACAACAACAACAACTACACGACAACAACAACATGAACCAACCAACAAATCAACCAACAACAAACAAATAATTTAAACAATTGCGAAACGGAACAAAACAAACGAAAATGTATCTTAGGTCCATGAACGCCAAACCGCACGCATGCGCACTCGCTCCGAATGGTTCCTGGGACCGCGGGATGCGGTGGTCACGCTGCAGCTGCCGGCGGACACCTGCAGCAACTGCTGCCTGGCGGCTGCCGCTGGATATTTGGGCGGCGGCAGCACCAGGGACATGCGACAGGCTCAAACGGAAGGCGAACGGAATCAGGCGGCCTTGCTCTATCACTTTTATCGCCGCCAACAACAGCAACAGCAGCAGCAGCAACAACAGGAGCAGCAGCACTATGACGACATGATGGACACCGAGGATAGCTATGGACAGCAGAAGGAGCAGCAGCAGCAACACCAACAGCAGCAGGAGCAACACCAACAGCAACAGATACATTCCAAGGGCCTCTTGAGGCCACCGCCCATGCAACATCAGCAGCAACAGCAGCAGCGTCGCCTGCTGCTGGACGTCAATTCGGGTAGTTATAATGCCGGACTAACTACTACGCTCACTACCACCACCACCAATACAACCATCACCACAACCAACAACACTAATTTCGGCGAAGATCTGGCCTTCTATCTACACGAACCGCTCGCCAACACATGCTACTACTCCAGCCACTGCTTGAGCCGGCTGCAACCCGTTGTCGTTGTGCGCGAGGAGCGATTGGTGAAGGATTCGGACAGCGACGGGGATTCCCTGGACGGCGGCGTGCTGCACACGCTGCAGGCCCACGAGCTGCAGCAGCATGTGCAGCCCAGGCAGGCGGCGATGTTGCTGCTGCGGCACTCCTCACAGCAACAGCAGCAACATCGCAGAAGCAGGAGCAACAGCGGCAGCAGCAGCAATGCCACGTCCTTGTATCGATCCTTTGACGTGACCGCCTCCACCAATTTGCCTCCGGCGAGCGACAACAACAACAGGCTCAGTCAGAACAACAACAACAACAACAACAGCACTGGCAGCAACAATAACCACAACAACAACAACTTTGCTACAGTCATTTTCAATGTTTTGGACTTTTTGTTTTGATAAAAAAAGAAGAAAAGAAGAAGAAAAGAAGAAGAAAAAAAAAGAAAAAAGAACGAAAGCGAGCTAAAAAATCGGAATGAAGTGTCTTGTGTTTTGTAGCTACCAATTGCATCCAATCATGAATTTTGCTTATGTCCGACTAATGCTAAACATATTTATATATTTAAGGCTATAATTTATTTTTGTTTTGTTAAAAGGAACTCAAGGTGTTTATCATGTCGAACGATATGGGATCGAAAAGGGTTTACCCACCCATATTTTATAATACTAATTCCCCCAAAAAAAAAAACCAAGCATGATAAGCCGAGATTTCTTTGTTGCCAACCAACCAACCACATGCCCATTGGAATTTTGTTAAATTTACCTTTTAATTTGTATTGTTTTTGATTTAGCTACCAAGTAATTGAATTATTTATTTGTATTGTGTACTTTGCCCGCTCATTTGTCCCTTTATTATTTCGCTTTGTAACAATAAACTTTATTATTTATTTATACTGTGTATAACCGAAAATCGAAAGATGTTGAAAGCTTTTTGTGTTGCTTTTTGTGTGTGTTACACTCGATATATACACCAGACATGTGATACATGCATAACTACGTGTGTTGTACTTGTTGTTGTTTAATTTTGCGTACTAACCCCCGAGTTTTGTGTGTTTTGTCCACATTTTGTACACCTATTTGTTTAAACGTTATTGAGTGAGTTGTTGTCCCGGCAAAAAAAAAAAATAAAATAACAAAGACAACCACAGCAGAGAAAAAATAAACAACAGTAGTAAGCCACATAAAAGAATATTTAACATCAAGAAAGCGCCAACAGCCACCAAACCAAACCAAACCAAATCAAACCAACACCAACATTTATTTGCTACTCCAAGACCTCTGAACTAAAGCCAATTAACTCATCAGCAATATTATTTCTCCTCTTCTTTTTTGTTTTCTTTATTCCGCCCGACTTTGTGTGTCCCGATGAATCCCGATTTTAGTTGGCAACATCCGTTTGAGTAACAGCGCCGAGTCCATTCAGTACGCAGCCCGACGACCGGTGGCCAGTTTTGGGCTCAACACCGGCGGCCTTGGCGGCGGCGGCGGCGCCATCAACAGCAGCAGCACCACCACCCACAATCCCACCACCCGGCGGCTGCTCATCAATGTGCCGCGCCAGTATCGATCCTCGCTGCGGCGCAACAAGGAGAAGCAGATCGGCGGCAATAGTCAGAGCAACAGTAGCAATAGCCTGGGCAGTGATCATCTGGCCGGAAATCCTGGAGCAGCTGGCGGAGCTGGATCCTCCGGCGGTGTTTCGGTGCTGAACAAGCCCCTGCTGATGGTGGGCATCCTGCCGGGTGCCGAGCAGCCGCCGTCGGTGAGGAACTCGATCGCCGAGTGCGGCATCTCCACGCCGGATGCCATGGACGTGGGTGTGGAGTGCAGCACCACGCTCAGCTTCAAGCCGCCGCGACTGTAACAAGGACACCGGCACATCGAACCGAATGCTGAGGACGCCCAGGACTCGTCGGCATTGTGACAGCTATAATTATGTTAGGATCTAACCATTTTTTAAGTGAAAACCATTTTTTAATACGTATACTTCCAACACAAACAAACACACAAAAGAAAAAAAACAGGGGTTTTATAGCGATTTCTGAGGATTGAATGAAAGAAACAGCGGAATACAATATTGATGTAACCAATTTTATCTCTCATTTCACGAAACTATTTTTCCAATCCCAATAGAAACCCGTGAAACCCCAAAAAAGATCATACATTAGGTTATGGTAAACGATATATGTATTTAATGTGTATAGCAAGAAAAGGCTGATTTTCTTTAGTTAAACATACAAACAAACAAAACAAAAACAAAAGAGAATACGAACGAAGGAAAGGAAAACAATTTACAACTAAAACTAACTATATAATGCAACAAATTGCCAAATTTTATTCAGCATCCATTTCGTTGTGTGAACTAGGTTGACTTTAGTTTATGTTTTAGCCAAGAATCTCTCAAACTTGAACATTGTCAAGGTAAAAATAAACGAAATTTTCACCTGAACGCTAACCGAAACAACGATACAAAAAGCGGAGAACTTTCTCAGCTCTGCAGCATCTGAACAATCCAAGCAATCAATTTCGAGGCCGACTCTCTGTCTTTTTATGAACCAACGTACATGTTACTTCTAATTAAAATTATAACTAATCGAATTAATGGAGCAGGAGCTGCAATGCAATCTCACAGACCCAACAAATCAACAACTACAGAATAACATTCATTTTTGATACAGACAAGTACAAAAGCAAAACTAAACAGAAACCAATCGAGAATATCTAATATAAAGTGTACATTATTCTTACAAAGAAGAAAAAAACAAACAAAAACAACAAAAGTTAGCATTTAATATCTAGTTAAGCGTTTTGAAATTATACCTACAACAACTGCGAACGGAAATCAACTTGTAATGCGAACGTTGTTTTCATGATGTTATCGTTAATAGTGCTATGTGTACATATATTCGTGTATGTCTATGTGTCCAAGATATATATAATATGTATATTTACTAAACGATATGCGAAAACAGCCCTTCTCGCGGGGAATCAGAACAACCAAACAAAAGCTTGAGCAAACGAGAAAATTCCATTTTATATAGCAGCTGATTTAGCGAGTCCTCTGTACGACTAGTTTTAGATAGTTCCAATCCAAGCAAAAGATCTGCCGAAGGACCCACCCCTTGGGTGCACTTCGGATCGATTTTCACTGCCCCGCCACTGAAGAAAAGTTCTGTTTCCCTTCGCCCCAGACTTGGAGATTTTTCATCTGTAATTGAAAAATTCTTTGCAATGTTGGGGTACAATGAAATTTCCTCGCTGTGTTTTGCCACATTTGGTGTGTTTGTTAAATTAAATTTACATAATTAATCTAAATGTTAGCTAAGGATATGAAACAAGTGTTAAATTTACCACTTCTTTGGCCATTTCATACGTAGTATGAAACGCATCCATTAAATATTTAAATTAAGTGCATAAAGCTCTGAATGTTGCCCAGAACTTAGGAATAAATATCCAAGAAACACCAATTTCGACTAGTTTAATTAGATCTGCGTATGCAATGGGAGTTGAGGGTTTTCCCTGGTTAAAGTACTGCTGGAATGGAGAGCAATCAGTGGTTCCTTGTTGGTGGGTTGAGAAGGCGCTGGCTGGGAATTGCCACAGGGATCCGTATTAAAAACCCAACAATTTGTACTGGGATGCATCCAAAATATTGATACAACAAATTTCCTCTCTTCCACTTCATAATTTTTACCAAATATTGTTTTATTAAAGAATCTATTTAGATTTCTTTAAATAAAAGTACAAGCATCTGACCCATGACACCAGGATCGTCACTGTCTTGGCCACCAGCTTAACCGCCTCTTCGTCCCCTTCAAGAAACACCAATTTGTTGATAAGCAAAAAAAATTTTATTGTATCAACATTATTTTGATTGCTGTATATGGTAGGCTATAAGTTACAAAATATATACTTGTATAAATCTTACAGAGTACGAGTTGAATTGAAGTACATTCATTAGCCACAAAATACTATTACATAATTATAAATGATATTGTAAATAATGATAAAAAGGTAAGCTATACGTTATATTTAGTGAGCAGGATCTGTTCCATACAAATTCAAGTGCCAAATGCATTTCGATTACATTTTTTATTTTTTTGATTTTCTTCACTTTCGAGACATTTTCTATTTTGTGAAAGCTGCACTTTAAGAAATTCTGTATACAAAAATGTAAAGAAAAGATTCATACATATAATGTAACTTATTACTGAATGAAAAATATAAATAATAAAATTGCAAAAATTAAATAGGGCGGGCCTGGCTTAAGTTTTCTTACTTGCTAATCTTACGAACACATATTTGGTCAAAGGTGGTTTTAGCGTTGATATTAACTGACAAGTAAGAATAATGGTTTGAAAATATGCATGCCATTTTATATAAATTCAGGTTTTACAAGTTTGAAACAATTTAAATTAGATTACTTGTCAGTCAATATCGTAGGCCACCAATCTAATTATACAGAGCTTTGTCCACTAAAATGCCGTGCTCGATGAGAAAACTCTCGACATCGGAGGCAAAGAAGTCGTCGCTGAGATCATCGGTTAGCCGCACAAAATTGCCGATGACCGCTTGCGCCTTGTAGACCAGCAGGGCGGGCAGTCCCTTGGTGCGGAAATCCCGGCTCATTCCGGCAACGGAACTGCAGATCTTGGCGAACTTTATGGACGGATAGTCGCTGGCCAGGCTGTCGAGGCATTTATTCAGCGTCGTGCAGGCGGCCAGCTGTCGCTCGTAGATGTGGATGATAATGGTGGTGTGCTTGTTCTCCTGCTCCACGCAGGCGAGGAACTCCTCGTGGCTGGTCAACTGCTGCACCTTGCCGAACTGCTGGTTGTGTCCCGTCTGGCGCAGCATCTCGGCCATCCGCTGTTTTTGATACTGCTGCAGGAAGTCCTCGCTCATCAGTTCGTCCAGCTCGGCGTCCAGTTCCTCCTGCCGCTTGCGCTCCTCATCCTCCGCCGCGGTGGCCGACGTGATTGTCAGTTTCTTGGCCAGCGCCAGACGTTGGCGCTCCGTTTCGTCCCGGCGCTCCGCCTCTAGCTGCTTGAATCGCTGCCAGTCCTTGACCACGCCCTTGGGCCCAGTGTTCGTCGAACCCTGCTGCCGGAACCCTCCGGCCGGAGTCGCATCCGGATTTGTGTCAATGGTTAGGCCGGACTTTCCGGATGCAGCCCCCTTGCAATCATCACCGTCGCCGTCGTCGCCATTGTCCTCGCCCTCGCTGCTGCTGCAGTAGTACTCCAGCTTCTCGCCCAGTAGTTTGTCCTCCAAGGTGGCCATGGCTGCTATTCCCGTGCTTTTTTACTCTCAATTTACAATTCAATTAGCAATTAGGAACGAAAATCTATGTTTACTCGAAACTATCGATGATGACAGAAGTTGAAAAATATCGATGTTTAGTAAGCAGTGCACCAGTTGTGTTTAACTATGAACTGCTTTTACAACAAGCAGTCGATTACTCTTTACTATCGCATTTTTAGGTATGATTAGTATTTATTATTTTTTTGTATTGGTATGTATTTTTCGAGCGCGCCAAGATTTAACTTCTATCATGTTTTGCCCCAACATTTCATGAATTGCTTTTACAAAGCTACAACATATCCTTTTTATTTGTTTTGCATAAAATTTATATCTGGTGCAAACGTTATTTACTCATATTTATTATTACTTGTTATTCCAAGTCGTAATTTAAGTGATATGATTTAATTAATACCTAGTTTTATGCGTTTTGCGAATTACATTGAAAATTTCCTTTAGCTTGTCGGGCACCGCAAAGTCCGGCAGTATTTGCTCCATGCTGTTAAAGTCGGCCTTTTCCAACTCGTCGCACGAATCATCCGATCCGGAATCATCAGCAAGTGCTAATCTTTCAGCGAAGGAGACGATGCCGCACCAGGCGCGAAAGTCCAGGTCTCCGGATCCCTGGGGATCGTATCCCAGCATCCTGAGAGTGCCCTGCACATTCTCCTCCGTGCCATGGAACTCGAGGACATCCTCCAGCGCTTGTGGTAGACTCTGCCACACAAGGGTTCGTTCCCTGTATTTATATTCCGGCAGCTCATCATTTCCCATGACCGCCAGTTCACTTTCCGGTTCCTCGATTCTGCTCAAATACTTCAGAAACACTCGCTTGTAAAGCTGCTTACGCTGCTGCGAAACCCAGACGCACTTGCTCAAATAATCCCACGGCGTCATGTCTATTAAAATATTTAAATTATTAAAGTGCCTAAATGGGATTTTAGTTTACTAGCTTTTCAGCATGGAAAGATCCATGGGAACATCGAATCTAGTTGCGGATTTTGAGAACTTTCGCGGCATCTTGGAAGTTGTTTCGGGGGGAACTTTATCTTCGGTGGCTTTCGGCACGATTTTGGGTTTTGGTGGCATGTACTTGATGGCTTCTCTAAGAGCTCGGTTGAGCTGGGGTAATAAATTATATAAATATTAGGAAATGTAGTTTTCATATGTTGAGTTATATAAGCTTACATATCTCCCAAAAGTATTCTCAATTAAATCCACATCCAAGTCGGTTTTCAGTGCCTGAAAGGCATCATCTGTTAAAAAACTTCCCTTCAAAAGGATCGGTTCTCGTTCAGTCTCCCTTTTATCCTTGGGCAGCAAAGTAAGTGAATTGGGTATTAAACTTGGCCTGGTACTGGGATTTAGTGAATCGGGTCCCAAGGCAGCCACTTGAGTCTCCGGATCTTCACTGAGGTGGAAGGTGGTGGTGGCTTAAATTAAATTATTATAAATTAATTTTATTATTAATCACAATCTTATTAAGGAGAACTTAGTTTACTTACCTTGAGCTGGCTTCAACTTCTTGCGTTTTTTGCCACGGCGCACATCCTCGTCACTGATTTCGTGTTCATTTATGCAGGTTTTCGGCTTGGCCTCCAGATCATTGGGGGCATCTCCTCCTGGCGACAGATTGGCGGTGGCCAGCGAGGATTTGGGCCTCTGCTCGTTGGAGGGCTGCCTCTTCGGCTTCTTGTCCTCGTTGGCGCCGGCACTCTTGGGCTTCTTGTCCTCCTCCAAGCCGCTTTGGGTCAACTCGGAGCTGGGCTTCCAGTAGAGCGTCTCCTGGGAATGCGACCGCCGGAGATCCAATATGATTTTCTTCCGCTTGATGTTCTCGTGTTTTCCCCACTCAGGAGTTATGCATCGTCGGTAGAAGGATCCCGCACTGGTTCTGGTGTGGATACTGGTTACCGTGGGCGTTGGGGTCATGGGACGCGAATCCGTTTCCGCATATCGCCGGAACAGATCCTCCGGAATATTGTCCGCCTCGTGCGGTTGGAGTTCCGTCTCCTCGGTGCCTTTTTCCTGCCTCCCATGCTGCTGACCTTTGCCCTCGATGGCCAGCGATGTCTTCAGCTGGTTAATCACCTCCTTGACCCCCGATGGAGCCGGATGGTTGCAGAGCACCGAGCAGCCCTTGGCGAAGGGGTTGAAGAGTCCTCCGAAGGGGCGCAGCGAAAGCGGCATGGGCGTGGCCTCGAACTTGAGCGGCATTCGCGAGAATTCCCCATGCTGATTTCTGCGCTGCAGATTTAAATGGAAGGTAATTTATCTTGGAATTGCTAAACCTACTGTAAAGGTAATAATTTGTTCTCCTCATAATATTAAATTAAATGTTTGAAAATATCTTTAAGCTATTTTGAGTGCCAAATTAAATGTTTAAAATATCTTAAAACGATTTTAAGTGACAGTTCGTTAAGCTTTAGTTTTCTATAATTATGTATTATTTTTGTTTTGAAGATAATTACCTTTTTTAGATACTTTACATGCCTCTTGGGCGTGGGAACTAATCCAGTACGTGTGGTTGCACTCATTGTCTCTATAATACTAAATATCAAACCAAACAAAAAAGCCGGAGTTGGCATCCATAAACAATTCGTTGTGTTTCTATGGTTATTTGTTTCTTATCTCTCTTTATTGATTTTAACGCCATATTGGTAACAGATAGGAAATGATATATTCTAGAATGTAAATATAAAAACCTTTTTCCGGAAAAAAAGATGCCAAAGGGTTTTGCTTTCTTCCCTGCATCAAAATGTTTCTCTAGAGAAAAACTTTAATTTGTTTACCTAAAAAAATACTTTTATTTGTTGCCTTGAGAAATGAAACACCTTTTTTAAAATTAAGTATGTTTATTGTTTGTATCTTAAAGCTAATAACTCGCAGGATTTGAATTACATAAGGAATACGTTTTAGTAAGGAAATATTCGGGCAGAAGCCTCTTTCCGGTTCTCAGTAGAGGGAACCGCGATGATGCAAATGCCTGAGGCGTTGATCCAGCAACTGGCGTTCGTTGGACAGCGAAATTGTAGATGTGGAGCGATGCAGTGGAGCGGGCAGGATGGTCACGCCACCGCCATGGCCTCCATGGCCACCGGAAACCTGAACGACAGGACTGGCCGTGTCCAAGGGACCGATTCCAGCGGTATTCCCCACCGCTCGCGATCGCAGCAGATGGTTTCTGAGCGGCGATTGCCGACGCACCGAGTTGTTGAATGAGATCTGCAGGGAGAGGCGCTTCTGGGAGAGGGAAGCCAGGTGCTCCGGGGACAGCTCGATCACCTGGGGAGGAGCAGCCGCCGCCACCGCCATCGCAGCCGCTGTGGCGGCACTGTAGCTCGGCAGCGATGAAGTGGGCGATGCGTTGCCACAATTGCAGGTGGTCGAGGCCAGGGACACATTATCCGCACCAGCATCCGCACTCGCAATGTTCGTCTCCACCAGGCTGTAGCCCACCGCCTGCTCCTTGCCGTTGCTCTCGTTGCACTCGAATATCTTAATGATGGGCACCACCGCCGGGGTGAGGATAATGCCCGCCTTCCGGAACTCCTCCAGGGCATCGTCGTAGGTGGGCAACCCGGAGACAATCGTGTACGAGGGCAGGGACTCCGCCTCGTAGTCCGGCGGACAGCGGCGACAGATCTCAATCGTGGGATCACTGTGATTGGCACGGTCTGCAAGGACACACAACGGGAGAAAGGTAATCCGATTAGAACATGGCAAACAATTGCAACTAAAGGAACAAAAATTTAATTTAATCCATAAAAACATGTAGGTGTAAAGTAAAACTTTTTTTTAAATTCCTCACTTCTATTACTTGCTTTCTTTAGTAAAACCTTTATTTAAAACTGCATTTATTAAATAAATAAAAACCACAAAATCCAAAAAATATTACCCGCAACAGATATAATTTTCTTTTTGTGTTAGCATTTTTTTCTAAACAAATAAAAACTTTGTTCAACAAATAAAAAACTAATTAAAAAAGTTAGTTCAATTTTTTTTTATAAATTTGTGTTAAGCCGACTGTTCATTTATTACCCACTTCAACGTTAAATTTTGGATTTCAATGGAAATTGGTTTTTAAAAGCTTATTTGTTTGGTGTAAACACTTTTTACTATCGTAAAAACCTCCTCACATTCAGTTTTAAACAGAATTACATATTTATTATAAAAACTGTTCTGAATAATTGTTTATATTATTCTCCCTTTTTTTGTAGTTATTTCTCTGTTTTATATCCCCAGATGCTGCTGGCTCGCTCTTCCGGCAGTCAGACAAAAAAAAAGAACAATCAGAATTATCAAATCAATTCCCCTTTGCTGCCCTTCAGAGACTAGAGACCTGCCACAGTAGCAATGGCACTTAAACCGCTCTCAACCCCTCGAAAAAGTTACCTTTAGTTTTTGGGGATGTTGCTGCGGATCTAAATGAAATTTTTATACCGATTGCTTGTTCCCTTAAAAGCTAGTAAAAAGCCCTAAAGGCGTCCAACTGCAAGCTGTGTCCCAACCCTTAAAAGTAGGCAACGGAAAACATTTATTGCAATTGTCCAGCGGTCGAGGAGAAGGAGGCAAATAAATGTGGCTCCCGGGATGGGGGACAAACCCAGCCGAATCCTCGCCAGGAAGGTGAGTCAGCAGCCCAATGATGGAGTACATGGAACTGTTGATGCGGCAAGCGTTTTTCCCCGTGACGCTGTACAAGATTTTCAAGATTAGCCGCATGCTGGGTGGCTTTGGCAAATATTGAAAATGGCATACGCTTCGCTTCACACCCTTTACTTTCTTTTTTTTTTTTTTGTATTTGTGTGTTTCATGTTGGGGATTTAAAGCCTGCGGGTCGACAATTTTCAGACATTTTCACACCCACATGAATGGACGCTCATTTTTTATGCAACGCTTTGTGAGCTTACGAAATTAAATTGATGATGCCCGGGAAGAAAGCGGGCGGAATGAAAGTGAAAACTCATTTTCGGATGGGGTTTGCTGGCATATGGCTCACCGGGGGGGCTGTCAGTCCTTTAGCTCCACTCCCCTGCTCCTCTGACAGCAGCTCAACGTGCTTAAGCCTTTTTGTAATTTTCAATTGACTTTAGTTAATTATGGGCCGGCTTACAACGAGCTTAAGTCGGCTGGATACACTTTTGATTTTGCGAGAGGTACTTGTTAAATCATTGTTTAAGTTTCAGTTTAGAACAATTGTGTGGAAGGCCATCAAAAGGATTGTTTTTGAATTTGTTTAATATGGGAAAATTAAAAGAAAACTCTGTGAAGTGAAAGCTTATTGATAAATATGGTTAGTTTTGTTTAAAAAGAATATTTACCTACGAATAAGAATTGCTGATATGTAGGGGTGTTTAAAATTGTCGTATTATATTTATTTAGCTTTTTTAATAACTTAAAAAATGTAAGGGCAACTTTATGCATTCTAAACACTTTTGACTCATAGTTTTTCTTTTCATAGATACACTTTTTCTACCACAAGTGTCCACGCCCCACTCCATCATAAACTGCCTATCCCCAAACGAGAAGGACGTTTTTTGACGTGGCCACAACTACTAGGCTTGATGAACTGTCTGTCTATGTCTGGGCCCATAAGCCCCGGGACATACGCATTCAATTCCCCAAACGCAGCTTAGCACGACAATAAAATGAAGTGCAGCGCATAAAAAAGCGAAAGCCGCTTGGCAGATGAAACGATGAAACGAAAATAAACAAAGCCCGAAGTGTAAGTGCGTTGTGCATAAAATATTCGCCGCAAGTTATAAGCCAGCAGGAAAATGGACACCGAAATTTCCACTAGTCAATATGCTAAAGGTCATGAAAGCGCCAAGCATCCACAAGGAAACTTGCTTAGCATTGGGATTGGAACTACAAATACACTTGACAAAATCTTGGCATTTTGTAAGAAGTGGAAAAATAAACCTAAGTAAATAAAAAAGTTTTCCTTTTAAATGTGAGATCTTTATTTTGAGGTAATTAGCATGTGTAAGTCATACTAACAATTAATTATAGCAATGATAAACTTTTGAATTATCCTTGAATAAATAAGCATTGTTTATTTCTATTCATTATTTTTTATTGTGTAAGTAGAGAGCATCTTAACCTAAGGCAGGCCAGAGATATTTGGGCGTTCTCACAATAACAACAGAAAAAGTTAAACACACTTTATGTTGGGGCTTCGCTTTCGAGTTTTGGGGGTCTCTCAGGCAAAAGGACGAATCGCAGGAAGTGGGCGAGTGGGTGTTGTGCGTTTTGTGGATTTGTGCGCCAAGCCACCAAAGCAGAAAAAAGAAAACAAACGACATACAGCTCAAGCAACCAAAAGTGACGTGCCCAGGAAGAGGACGATGGAAATGGCGATGGCGATGGAGATGGAGATGGCGACATGCCTGCCAGCAGACCGAAAAAAATTGAGGAAAATGGAAAGGGGAAAATGCTCCCCTTAGGTGGCAGCACTGGGAGAAAATATATGCATGTTTAAGAAATTATTTTGCGACTGCTTTATTAAGAAATCTTTCTTTAATAGATAATTTCTGTGAAGGCAATTGAACGCTTATAAATATTTGTCTGTCACTTGTAAGAATGGAAACAACAATTTTATTTTGTTTAATAAATATTTATTTTTTATCAGGGTATATGTACCTATATGTACATTTTCTTGATAAATTAAAGTAGCAGTAAACTTTCTGTTTTTTTTATTATATCCTGTTTTTAAAAATTAATTCGTTTTTACTTTTGTAAAATGTTTAATAAATATATTTGGAAATTATTGACAATAAATAAGCATCCTATATTCCTATATTAATTATTTAATTTTATAAACTTACTATTTTGTATAGACATTTTCTTTTTACAACTTTTCCTTCTTTAAGTAATTTTTTTTGAGTGCACAATAGATGGCAGACAGGAGCTTCCAAGGCACGTAAGCAGTTTATGCCCGCCGCCCCCCAAAAATAAAAGTTCGAGCCACATTTTTGGATGCTGCCATCGTTGTCCTTCGCCTCGGCCCGCCTTCCGTTGTCCTTGGGGTTGGTAAACACGGCACCAAATTGCCGTTTAAATTTCTCCCCAATGTCTACGCCTGGGGCCAAAGCGGCCTTGAAACATTATTATGACTGTCACGCCCCATTCGCCCCACCTGTTAGGCCTGCCCCAAAGATCCCAGTTCGCTGCCTCGGGGGCTCCAATCCCCCGGCAACTTTATATTTGAAGTTGTGGCTGGCTGACGAAGGTCGGGGGAGCCGTGAAGACAGGCGTTAAATGCTACCTATAGTATGCCTCCCATCGGACTCGCAATCCTGGGGCTCTGATCCATGTCAAGGGTCTCCGGTCTGCCAGCGGCTGCTCCCAGCTTCCAGCTAACTTATGGCTCTGTCTGCTGCAGGCCCTGTTCTTTGTTTAACTAATTAAACTCTTGTACCAGCGAGCATGCAAATAGCATTTGGCCTTCTTCGCAAAAACACGTGTCGGTCTGGCATGCAAAAAAAAGGAGAAACAACCGAAAACAATAGGAAATAATGTTTTAGGCCCTAAACTAAACGCATGTCAGAATTGCATTGTTTTCTTTGAGCCAAGACAAGAAAAATGATGTTGCCCAGGGCCAGGATCTCAGAGGCTATTAGTTCGAACTCAAAGGATTTCTAATGGCCTACCAGTAAAAACTTCTACATGAAGAAATCTTTTTGGGTTGGAAAAACGAATTGAAAAAGGTTAAATCATTTTTGAATAGCTTGAAGCATAACAAATTATTGTTTTATTTTAATGAAATTAAATTGATAAGTTCAAGATTTGTTTAGCATTTTATAAGAAATTTTTTATAAATGTTATTTTTATATCATAATCTTTTGAACTTTTATAGATTTGTTTTAGTACTGATTTAATTTCCTAATATTATTTGAAAACCTAACCAAAACCAAACCCTTTTTCCGTTCATCTTATTGTTAAATTGTACGATTCAGATAGGCTCGACGGTAAATTTGTCGCTTTATTCGTACGTTTTGTATGGTTTCCCGGACAAATGTCCCATCATCAGCAACTGTAGCGCATTAAAACTAACTGCTAAATTATTAGCAAGACAACCCATCCATCTTGGGGGCAGGTCCTCGGTGGGTCTTTGCACACGAAAACAGAAATGAAGAAAAATTGCGGCTTGTCAGTGGAAGGCAGAACAACAATAAAAAGGACAAAACCGACAACATGAAGACGTCTTCAGCATCCTGCGCTGGAGTAAACGAAACACGCGCCAGGAGCATCCAACATCCAGGACGAAAAAGTAATAAGTGTGTCTATTTGTTTGCGAATATTTCATTTCCCGTGCCGTTTACTTTCTATCTTCGGTCTGCCCACAGCAGCTTTTCGCTGGAAAAGGAGGAAAGCCTGGGACTGTCACGAAAGTCGCATTTCCCCCAAAACTAAATCATATAACCGTATATCAAATTTAGTCCCAGTTTATGTTCTGGCCAACAAATTCAATTTGAATTTCCGAAATATTACTTAAGCTTGGCTTAAAAGGTAAACCGAGAAATATCTGCTTAAGGGCTCCTAAAACGAATTTACTCTGGATTTTAATTATTAAAAAAACTTTTTTTAGGCTACGGCTTCCATCCTGTAGTTATACCCTAAAATAGCTTATTTAAAATCGAATGAAAATGGGAACTTCTTTTTGTTTAATTTGAGTAACTGCTGCTCGACCATTTGATTTATGTACATTGAACTTGCGGAAAGTTCAACTAATACATAAAATGCAAACGGCGTGCGTGGGCAAAAGAAGGAAAAAGTTAGTGTAATTTATAAAATGCAAGCCACACATGGTGCCCTCTCGCCTGGGAGAGGCGCTGAATGTTATTAAAAACAATATAAACAACTTCCCGGTGGGTTGTTCCGGGTCGGTTGTTTATGGACACCAGTGTGAGGGGCACGGAAAACAAGCCTTAAACCACAAAGTACCACTTTTCCTGCCTATTGGGTGGTTGTGTGCGGCAGTTGCGGCAATTTTCAAATTGACTTTTGCACATGTTGCCGCCGTAGCGAAAATGCGGGCAAACAATGTAGCCAAAGTGTTTTCTACTAAAAACAAAAAAACATAGCACAATAGGCTCCAACTGTCTGGGTGTGTGCAAATCAGCGCTGCCAAGATTGTTTATGATCAACTTTCAGGATTTTCAAAAGAAATAATAGTTTGATAACTATTTCAGAAAAACTTTCAGTAAGTTATTAAAATTCCACTAAAATGTCCCCATCATTACTTCTTTATGTTTTTGCAGGGTTATAAATGCAAAGTGAATGTGCAAAATATCAGCCAATTGAAATCATTAATAATTTTCCCGTAAAGTATGGCTAAACTTATTCCTTGCGTTTGAAAATCTCTAATTTAGCAGCACTAACTTGAGTTTTATCCGTTATGTTGCCCACGAAGTAGTACAAAAAGTGGGCGAAAAATACAAAAATAAGTGCATAGCAAAAACGTGCCAATTGTGCGCGTGAACGGAATACCAAAATAGTTGGCCGCTTCTGCGCCAAAAGTCAAATATCCATCAAAACGGCATTAGTGGCGGCAGCTGCGCTTTCGCACTTTGCCCCCCATTTTATTTGAATTTCAGCGCCTTGCGTCACCCCCGACCTTCAACACTTATCTCGGTGAAGACACTTTCCAGCACTGACCCGCTCAAACAGTGTTGCAAGCGATCACGCTCTCTCACACACTCGCACTCACACACGCACACAAACAAGGGTGAGAACGAGAGAGAGAGAGAAAAATAAAAATTTCCGGCGTCGGTGGATTTGGTTTTGTTCTCAATTTCGAGTTTTTGCCTGTTCTACAGCGTTTTTAGTTGTCTTTTGAAAGTCGCCCTGCTAACTAAAACCCTCCTAAAGGAAAACCTTCGATCTGTTGAAAAAAGCATGCTGAAAATGGCAAATGTTGCAAATCCCCTGCAAACAATGAGGAAAACAAACGGCGACGAAGACTCCGAGGAATCTGATATGGAAGAAGAGGAAGAGGACGAGGAGGAGGAGGACGATCTGCCGGACGATGTGGTACTCCAAATCGACAGCGAGGATGAGGCGGAACTGGAGGCACAGCGCATTCGCTTGGTGGAAGAGGAAGCAGCAAAGACAACAAAAAAAGAAGAGACAGATCAGCAAGAACAGCAACAACAAAAGCAGCAAGGGCAGGTCAGTAACGGTAAAGCAGAGCACTTGGAGGAAACTGGAACGCCCAGCTCCAGTCACAACAACAAACGCAAGGGTCGTGGAAGGCCGAAACGCAAACCATCTACAAGTTCCCAAGCCTCCAGTGCATCAGTTGCTTCGCTCGCTTCCAGCGGCTCACTGGTGGCCGCCCAAGTGCTTGCGGATGAAAAGTCACGGCGGTTCATCTACAGCTGTTCCAGCTGCACTCACCACTACGGGCATAGCCTGATCCTCTCCAGACATTTTCAGCGGGAGCATGCCGAGAAGCCGAAGAGAAAACGGGGCAAACCGAAGGTATCGGTTGAAGAGCACTTGGTTACTCCACCCATGATTCTTGACCCACTGGCAATGAGTCACCTGAAGCCCTGCGCCCAGTTGCTCGTCCAAGGAGAATCCCTGCTGCAGCTGTGCCTCGCCTGCAACTCACAGTTTGTGGACGAGCAGCGCTTCCAGGAGCATCTTAGCCAGCAGCATGGTTACTTCAAGCTACTGGTGCCCAAGGAAGAACCCAACGATCTCCCTCCACATGCCATGGTCACCATTCCGGGGGCTCTGGCTGTCGGCAAAGCCAACTCCCAGCTCCTGCTGCCCATTCCGGCCCCAGAAACCCCTCCACCCGAGCAGGATGTTAAGGAAATGCCTCCAAGTACAGGCAGCAATGACCACGAGGATCTGGCCATGATCAACACCATGGTGGCCCAAATTACAGCCGAGCGTGTGAAGAAGACGAGCAGTCCTAAGGTTAGCAAGATGATTATAAAGTTGCCCACGGTCACCAAAAGAGGCAGGAAGCGCACCAAGCCAGAGAAGATCAGCGATGAAAAGAGTCGAGAGAGAAAGCAGGAGATGCCAGGGAAAAAACAGAAAGTGGACAAAAAGAAGGAAGATTTGATGAACTCGGCACCCAAGAAATCTCATAAAGAGTTGGAAGCGCAGCAGGTAAATGCTGGAAAGGATCAGCAAATACCAGTGGCGGCTGAAGTTGAACAGCAACAATTGGAAGTCCAGAAAAGACCGGAGGAGTTAAAGAAACAAGACCAGCACGAGAAAGATTCAAAGGATAAGCTTGAGCAGACAATGAAAACGATTGATTCGCAGCCAGTGGCAAATGGATTAAAAGGAAAACAGTCGCTGGAGAAACCATCAAATCAACTAGAGGTGGTTGTGGAACCTGTAAAGGAAATTCAGCCGCTTAATAAACTGTCACCGGTAAAAGATGCGGAAAAGCCAAATCAGCCGAAGAAAATTGAAAATGATACACATCTTACAAACGATGACAAAGATCAGCAGAAAAAATTGGAAAATCAAGCAGATCAACAGCTGGAGAAAGCTGAAAAACCTAAAACAATGGACAAATTGGAAAAGGAACAGCTTCCAACACAAGTGAGTTTGAATTGAATTTTTCTAAAGGTAATCCAAGTAAATACGCCTTGATTTCAGGAATTGTCCAATCCAGCCAAGCGCAAGCGCGGCCGCAAGGAGCGCAAGTCGCCTTCTCCCGTTCCCATTCCGCTGGCAGACAAAGAAATTAAGGAGGAGTCAGAGCCGTCAGAGCGGCGCACGCGCAAGTCGCGAAACCATGTAGACTATATGGTGGATATCAAAGATGAGGAGGAGGAAAAGGAGGACGACGAGGAGGAGGTAGATGATGACTCCTCGGCCACGATTTCGCCGCACAACAGCTCAACGGACGAGAGCTTCGTCTCGATCAAACGTGAGTCATCCGAGGAGTCTCAGCGCAACGAAGGTGGCATACACACTTGCAATTTCTGTGGCAAAACCTTTAAGCGTTTCTCGAGAATGCAGGATCATTTGCGTCTCCACACCGGAGAGAAACCCTACGTGTGTGGCCAGTGCGGCAGGGCTTTCCGCCTGAAGATGCGTCTGGTGGAGCACCAAATGCGTCATCGCACTGAGAAGGCGTACAAATGCGAGATATGTTCGATGCCTTTGGCCACAAAGCAGGATCTTTCGCTGCACATGCGTCATCACAAGAACGATCGGCGTTACAAGTGCGACAAGTGCAACAAGGGATTCGTTCGCAGCTCAGACTTGTCCATTCACGTGCGAATTCATACGGGTGAAAAGCCGTACAGCTGCGATCTGTGCGGAAAGGCGTTCCGTGCTCGCCAGAATTTGGTCGTCCATCGGCGTACTCATCTCGGAGACAAACCCATTCAGTGTGAGCTGTGCGACAAGCGTTTCGCTCGCAAGATCGACATGAGGGTGCACATGCGCAGGCACACGGGTGAAAAGCCTTACAACTGTGATGCCTGTGACCGTGGCTACTCCTCCCGAGTAAATCTGTTGCGCCACCAGGAGCGTGAGCATGGGAAAGAAGAGAAGCCCGCTGCCAAAGCGGAGAAGAAACAGCCGGAGCCCAAAGCCAAAGCAGCACCACGACGTCCTCGACGAGAGAAGCTGCAGCAAAAGATTGCTGTCCAGGAGAAACTACTGAACGACCTGAAACGCAGCTTGAGTGCCCTGCCCGAAGTGCCCGAGGAGTCGGCACAGCCCAAACACACTGAAGCCACCTTGGAACTGCCGGCAGATGCCGGAGCAGGGCATGCCCAAGTCCAGGTCACAGTGTCCATGCAAATGGAACCGGCACCCAGTCACGAAGACGATGAGGAGACCACGCCGGAGAAGGAGAACGTTTTGTCCAGCTCAACGACCACCGATGGGAAGACGAAGGCGAATCGCAAGATCACCAGCTACTTCACTGTTGTGGGTCAGCAGGCGGAAATCTAAAGACTTAAGTTCAGGGTCAAACACATTTCTTACTCATTAACTTTTAAGATGCCACTGTACTTGGAAATGATGGAGACATTTCCCTAGCGTAGCGTACACCTCGCAATTTTACTTTTTTGGATTTTTAATGCAATCTTGCAGCAGGGATCAAGTATTTTCTATATATACTATTTATACATGTACGATAATTTTGAGGTTCTACGAAGATGGATTCACGGGATATATTTAATGATGTGAAGGACATATAACCAACATGAACAAAAAAGACTACTTTTTAAAAGAAATAATGATATTTGATATTTGAAAAAATCAAGCAAGAGACTGCAAAGAGTTTTATAACATAAATATATATATTTTTCTAACGACAGAGCAACTTTTGTGAACAAAATAAGTTAAACTATGTAAAAATACCAATAAACTAGTAAGTAAGTTAGGGAAATGTTTGCAACCGAACATCTTGAAATCCAATTGCTGAAACTCGAATCCCCTTTAAACCGAATTGAAGTCTTAATCAAGGTTTTTTATAAATAATTTGTAAACAAATGTTCAGCCGATTCAATCTTATCGAGCTTCAATATCAGCAGAACATGATATTTATAAACAAATGCGCACAACGATTCGAATTTGATTTGCAAACATTTCCACTTCATTCCCCTTGCATTTAAACACCGTACGACCCACAGAATATTTCACAATTTCATTTAATTTCACAGCACACATGAAATCAATTGCAAGTCATTTTGTATGCAATTCGTACGAAATCTCCAGCGTATACTCAAAATTCCAAAACAAATTTAATTTAATGAAAATAATTTAAATTTATATTATATAAGCATTTAAATTGTGTTCGGGAAAAATGTATTTTCCCTTGCAAAGAATTCTACACTATCTCAGCACTTACTATATTTATTTTATAAACTTTACGCATTTACTTTAACATATTTACTTAATTTCTCGAATCGTAAGCGTAGAGAAAAGACAATGCAAAAAGTCAGCAGCGTTTATTTCCTACAAATAATATTTGAACGCATTTTTTGTAAATTGAATTTGTGGCAGCTTCTCTCATTCTGTAGCATCTAAGAGAGTCCAATGAAGAATATACGTTACTTTATAATTTCACATTTGTCGATGTTAATTTGATGGCAGTTGCAAATTGTTGCGCCCGGTACTTCAACCCCCGAAAATTGCAATTACATGAATGGGGGTGTGCGAGTTTTATGTTTAATGTTTATGGCAGAGGACAACCAAAGGCAGCTGCTGCAGCCCTTGTCAATTTTTCAGCACTAACTATTGCTCGAGAGGATTGGGCTTGGGGTGGACGGAGGAAGACAGAAGAAGGACGAAGGACCACGGAGAGACCGAGTGAATGGAGAGTAAATATCGAGCAGCAGTTTGTCATTTATAATGGGGTTGTACACGGTTCATTTCATTGTGCCAAGGGGTTGATATGTGAGAGAGATAAATAAAGCGGGACAAATGTGGCTATGAGAGAGCGGTTGGGTCTGATTTATGCCTAGATCCAGGTGGAAGAGTTAACCCCTTGGCGATCGTTGAACTCTTGTGGGCAGGATAATAAAGCATAGGGATCATAAATGTTTTGTTTTGGGACTCCTAACGCCTGAATTCATTTTAATCTTAATTTTTAATTCCTTTACAAAAAAAAAATATTTTTAAGTTGTAAAATGGTTTTTCAATTTTTCACGTATTTGTCTGTTTAAAAAAAAGTAGTTTTTTTTTAAGTTCAAGTCCATTTACAATTTTTTAAATAAACTTGAATAAAAGTTTAAAGAATTTAAAACAAATTAACTAAAACCATGAAGCTGATAAGTTTTTGTTTTCCTTGTGAGAGTGACATTTTCATTCCGCCCGGCATTCTTGTCTAAACAAAAACCAATTTCTTTGCTCCCGCACAACGTTTCGCATGTTTTGGCCATATGCTTATCATCTGGCCACTGCAATGACAATTTATTTTGTGCTGGGTTTCAAACAAAAGCGCAGCCAAAGAAAAAATGCCAAATTCAGCGAACAGCAGAGGCCAAATATGAGAAGAAAAAAGAAATTGCTAGCTCCAGCGCTTTCAATGCAATATTACGCATACGAAGCGTGGTACCGCGTGTTTTGTTTGTGAGATTGTGCCAAAATATACAAAAAAGTGAAGAAAAACGAAAAGATAGTGAACGTGACACAGCTCACACACACACAACGAAGTTGTTCATATTGGTGTGTGTGAAAATATGCAAATTAAGTGTGGCGACTTTTGTTCTCGCCGTTTTTTGGTGTAGAAAGCGTAAAAAGCGAGCAAAAACTGTACGTATACACATTATTTGGGCTGGCGATTGTGGAAAGCAAAGCGCCGAAAAAAACAAGTATACGCCCCGTTGTACAGTCAGTCAGTCGTGAGTGTGAGCTTGTCTGCGTGTGTTCGTGTGGCGATCAAGCTTGCTCTCCCCCTCTCTTTCCCTCTCTTCCTTTGTTTTGTTTGGTTTTTGGCCCGTCTCGTCAGCATTTTTACACTTTTATGTTGCTGGCTTTTAATTGAATTTCGCTTCAGTCTCAGACTTTGACTTCTTCTCTTGTTTTCTGCTGTTCCTTTTCGCTGTGGTTAATTTTAAAACTACCCATAAAAGCCACACGCTGCGCCGCGGTCGGCAGAGGCAGAGCCAGCGGCTTTTGCCACTAATACAATTACGTCCTGTCATCGAGTTGATTCTGGATATGCACTAAGAAAAAACAGTCAATCGTTTGATTTTTGAAAAAGTAATTATTTTCCTTAATAAGTTAATTTAAAACTAAAAGCTTAAATTAAATTTGGAATTGGTTATTAACCTAAGCTAATTGATTTTATATGTGTGGGCTATCTTTCATTTCACTCTTTCTCTCTCTCTTTATTCACTTGTGTTTTTGTTTGTTAAGTCTCTCTGCTGCGTTTCTTCTGCATTCTTTTTGCGGTCGTTAACTTGCAACAGAACATGTTTTGTTGTTGTTGATATTAGCCGAGCGCGCTCTTGTTTTTGTTTTCTCAATGTTCTAAGTTTTGCTCATCCAGAGAGAGTTTGTGTTTGTGTTGATTTGTTTGCGCAGCTCTCATGGCTTTGCGTGTGAGCCGCTTTGCCATCGGCACGTATGATTGTGTGTAGGGCGACTGAGAGAACTGACAATTGTTTTCCAACACTCAAGCGAGCCCGCGCCATTTAAATATTTTGAATAGCCAACGGTGCGTATGCATGATTTATGGGTGATGGAAATTCATGTAACGAAAATGCAAATATGGAAATGTTTTCTTTTGGTTGGTTTAAAAAACTTTAAGTTAACATTGTACAGAGTTTAAAATTTAAAATTTCTGCACTTTAAAAAAAAATATTGGTGAATATTTTAAAAGCCAGCAGGATTAAAGCTTAAACTGCTCTTTATCAATAGAAAATGATTAATGGGATCATAACAGAGAGAACCTAAAAATTAAATGTTCAATAAATTAAATCTTCTATGCTTAAAATAATTGACTGATGAAATATTTTGCAACGGATTGTGACTTTCTTCAATTGGCACAATTGATTTACACATTCACCATGGCAATTGCCTGCGAAACAAAAAATTTTATTCATAAGTCCTGCTGACAACCCTCATCCACATGAAATGCATTAAAAATTATTTATCCATAAATCATGCAATCGTTAATAAATAAAAAATGCATTCGAGTTCATTTCCCGTCGACAGTGAAATGGCACATAAACAAACAAACAAAGTCGAAAACGTTAAAAAACGAAAATAAAAGCGAAAAAAATATAGGCAAATGCATAAATAAATCAGAGAAGCGGGGAAACAACAATGCGGCCTGTCGCTCTGTCGAACAAACAAATATTCATAATTGTAAAAAAGCTCAAAGTCAGCTCCCGCAGGGCTTCAATGGAGTGAGAGATGTACACAGAGGGAGCGAGATGGACAGAGATTGCAACTAACCGCTGAATGTGCATAATTTATAAAGCTAATTAAACGCGCATTTAACTAATTAAAAATATAGCGCGCTTCAATTATTGAAATATGCTGCCCAATTATGATGCAGTCCAAATGCAAGAGAGAGAGAGAGACAGCTGGGTGGAGCAAATTTGCAATTAATATATATGTGTGAGTGAGTGTGTGCATTGCATTCGATTCCCTAGCCGTACAAACCAGAATCGAATGCTCAACGTCTCGTATACGTAACGCTAATCAAAGTGTATATTACGTATACGACAGCTTGACATGTGTGGGTTTCAAGCTAATTTTTGGACTGTCGGTATTTGTTGTTGTTGGCTTCGCTGGTGTTACTGCTGGCGCTGCCTTTTTGGCTTTTAGCAACCAAATACTAATTGACATTTTGCTATGCCGCCTGCAGAGAGAGAGATGGGAATAATGGGGCCGAAACACATGTCTATAGCTTTACAGTTAGCCCACTGCTGCTTGCCAATGCAAAAACAGTTTCAATTAAGCAATTAGCGCCATTGAAACAAATCCAACACGTTTTGTGGCTTATAAACTGAAGCATCATGTCGATTGGTTCGAACCGTGCGGTCGATCGAATCGAGCCGAGAATAGGCCATCGGTCGGGGGATTCGGGTTTCTGCGGCCATTCATTTGAGGCAATTAAAGGGTAATTGGGGTATGCGTGTTTACCCAGGGTCTGATTGATTGATCGAAAAATCTGTTTGCAAAAGGGAGAAATCCCAATTCGGTTCAATCCCAACAATTCTAGCTCTTCTTTCCGATTCTTTAATTGATTTTGTACTTTAACTTTGATGGCAGAAACCAAAGGATAGTACTACAAGAGACTATTTATTTCTAAATTATATAAAATTATAATAGTTAAAACTTACAACTAACTATTACTAACATTTGTTTTTCAATTATCTTAGATTTTTGTTCGTAAAACATTAATAACAATATTCGATGTTACCCCTTCTAAGTTGAAAAGGCATCATTTTATTTCATTTGACTGAATCATTTGATATCCCTAATGCACAGTACTTCACAGTCCACTCGACTCCTGCAAATACTGTTTAGTGTTTGCCTTATTACGTCCATTACTAATACAAATGCCAAATGCCATTTTAGTTACTGCTGCTAATTTGCGCAACATTTTTGGAACGCTCAGTTAGCATATTTATGCGAATTTCGCGCATCGATTCAATTTTAGCCACAAATCGAAAACAACAAATAGCATTTGCATATATACATGCTTAAAGTCTTGATCCTAAACGCGCATATATATACATCCGTAAGCTGCTTACGGCTTTTGTTGTCTGCCGTGAAAACCGTTCTGTATTGACGTCAGTGTTTTGCGCTCCTGCATTATATAAAGCCGCTTAATGCGAATCCGTCGCGGTTTTTTTGGGGGGGGAATGGTGGAGAAAGTCGGATTCGATTCGATTTGATTCGAAGACCCCCGGTGGACATTGGCCCTGATGGCGATGATGCATCACCATTGCCATTGCAATTTGCACTTTAATAAACCCAATAAAGCGATGCGATTGTTAATTACATTTGCAAATTCAATCAATTTCGAATAGTCTAATTTAATTAACGAATCGCTAAGTTTGATTTGCGGCGTTGCCGAGTTGATTAAATTGTAGCAGCAGTTTTCATTTAGGTAATCAACCTTTGTTACAGATCGCAAGTTTCATTTTCAAGTTAGTCTCAAAATTTGCACCCAATGGGAAATATTTGGGCCCTATATTTATACACCAATTTTTATGACCCGATTTAATGGGGTTTATTTTTGAAAGCTTATTTAAACACTTTATCTTTATTGGGTGCTCCGGCATTTCAGCTAATTGGTAACACCCACAATAGGCTTATGACTCGAAGTACTAAAAGCTATCTTTATAGCCTTTTGATTGGTCAAGTAGTTAGTAATTGCTTGCCTCGTAAACAGGTGTGTTTTCACGGTATTAGGTTTTCTATTTTCGGAAAATTGGGGTTCTGCGAACCCACTTCATGCTTACATATCTTAACCTGCCCATCAACATAAATCCCCGGGGCTACAGAATTTAATTTGTGGCCAAAAGGTCTTATCCGCAAACAAATATTAAACATATATTTACTATTTAAAGCCTTTAACCAAGCAAACCAGTCAAGGGTGTCAGCTTAAAACAATAAGTGGTGCAGGCGAACATCACCAAATTGGGAGGCAAATCAGTTAAAATAATAACAATGCGATGCCCGCAACAATGACGCCGGTGGAAACAGCAACAACACAAAGACAAACAACTCATTAAAGGGAAATTAAACAGCCGTGAACCAAAACGAACGCCATGTCACGACCCGTCACTCATACGCACTGTTGTCTGGGCCTACGTGAGTGACGTTTCGCGGTTTGATAAAGACCCTCTTTATTTCTCCAGGAAAAAATTGTCACCGAAGAAAATTGAGTAAGCGCATTGATATTTAAATCGCCCGAGGGAAAAGCAATATTTAACATACCTTATATTCTATAAATTAATATGAACTGTTTGAGCAGTTTACCTAAAAACGTGTCTAGGCATTCAAAATCTACAAAAACAATTGGCTAAAAGTACCAAGAAAAGCTATTGTTAATAGCCGAAAGGTGTGGTTAGTCACAAGTATTTAGCATCTGCCTGTTGACTTTGCTTAGTTGCCAAATCGAATTTTTGGGGGTTTTTAAATTTTTTTTTTTAATAAAAATAAGCAACTCTTGAGTAGATTGCAAGAGAAAAGTGTTAATAAAGACTGGACAGATAGAGAAATTTGTGTTTGAAAATCTAAGAAAATTTTAGTTGTTTAATAATTTTTATTATTTTTGAATTTTAAGAATTACATTTTAACAAAAAGAAAGTGCTCGGCTGTTATAAGATTTTAAATTTTGAAAATACAATGCAACTGCAGTAATCACAATTTTATGGGGAATATTTAAATATTTTTCGGTTTCATGGTCTCCAGATGTTATAGTTTTATAGTAAATACTACAAACACCCTTTTCTCTCTTGGCAACACAAACCTTACTGCTCTAGGCCTTATCAGTGAAAAAGACATTCTTTTTTTTTAAGTCCGATTGTTTGCTTGAAGCCATTAGTGCTCGAGGTCTTTGACTGCCTGCACTTGACTTACATTCGCCCCTTATCGGGGCAATCGACTACTCCTAATTGAAGTCAAACGAAGAAAAGAAATTAGCCAGCAAGCAATTTGACCATAGGCAAACAATTGACAGCCAGTCAGTTGGCCGATGCAGGACAAGGGAATTTTAATTAATTAACACAAATTTGCAGTGTATGAGAGAGCCTGGAGCACAAGTGCTGGCGGCCTGAGATGTTGGCCAATGTAAACAACAGCAAGTGCTCGAGAATCTCTCTCTTGAAATGGCCCACTTGACTGCAACTTTAATTAACTGGAAACGTAATGTTTGTTTTTGAAGGCGGCCAACGGCAGAGACAATGCCACCAGGAAGCCCGGAGGCGGTTCTCGAAAGATAAGGGCCCAAACGCATTGTCTGGTGGCCGTTCTCCCCACCCACAGTTTAATCAATGTAGTTGGGAATTTATTGGGCTAATTGCTTTATAATTTATAGGACAGCCGAAACCGGACAAAATATGATTAGGATTCGGTTGGTGGTCCCCGGTTGCACTGTAAGAAAAGCAACAAATTCAATAAAATCTATAGAATTACCAAAAGATCTATAGAAGTCTATTTAAAAATTTAAGAGTAATATTAACTCCGGACCCTTTAAATCATTTTAAAAGTAAATATTTTCTTTTCTATTTTTAGAACAGATAATTGCACATTTTTTTTGAGTGCCCAAGCTCCTGTTCTGCGGCTTCTAATTATTATTTTGGCAAATTGTTGGTGCAAACAGACAGCTCATAGAACACAATCATGTTTTGTTTATTAGCCAGCAAAGCTGTGAAATGTCTTGTGCTCTTCGCCGCTGTTTTCGAGTCACAAGATATTTACTCCGGTATGTGCTAAATAAATACTAACTGAAATTTCAATTCCCCCTTTTCGAGGTGAATCATTCTCCTCTGGGCCCGACTTTATTGTTTTGCTTCTGTTTTTGTTTTACGCTTTTTCCATTGCTTTGGAAAAGTTCTTTTCTGCCGCAGACTTTGCTTTTGGTACTTTTGTTTATTTGTTTTTATCGTTTTCTATTTTTGTTTTTTTATTTGCTTGGCTCTCGTCGCTCTTCGTGGCAAAGTCCAAGTCTAAACGGGTTTCCACTGACGTTTAATACAGCTTCAATGATTCTGCATTTTGATTTATGGATTACCGCGAATTTGAATTTTCAATAGCGCAATCGTGTTGTGCGAGTAATTGTTTGTGTTTGATTTGTCAGGTATGTAAATATAAAGGCACAGATTAAATGTAAGCTGGGCATAGTGAAATATTATTTGCTGATTGTTTATCAATTGACGTTGATATTCGAAATTCGAAAGGCTGGCTTAAAAAATATATTCAAATTTTTGAAGCTAGAAAACTGAACGCAGTTATAGCTTAGAAACAGAATAAATAAAACTGATCTTATAAACAAATACTTTTTATAATGTGTGAATATATACAAAGTAATCAAAAATAAACTACCAAAAAAGCCACCAGTAATTTTACTCAATTCACACATTACGTATACGCCACATTGGCAACACTCACATGAATTCTTCCACTGCTGGAATTTGTGGTACACGAAGCACGCGCAAATGAAGAATATCACAAAGACGATGAGCAGCGTGAGGATAACTCCTATCCAGATATCGCTGACCACGTGGGCGAAATCCTGTCCATCATCGCCCGTATATATCCTCGATCCGTGAGCTATATGCGGCGGAGGAGCCCTGGCAGCTGGCAGTACATCAAACAGATCGTCGGCAACATCGGCCACATCGTTCGCAGAGGCTGCGCCACTCAAGTTGATCTCGACCTCCTGGCGATCGATGGTGAAATTGCCCAGGGCCGAATCCAAGCCCAAGGCCAGCTGCTCGAGTTTGTTAATAAGTATGGAGTAGTTCCCCGGCAAATCGAAGCCGCCAAGATCGAGTTTTTCGCCACTATTCGCCGATGTGGCATCCAAGGTCGTTGCCGTGCCATTGAGACCTTCACCCAATGTGGTCGATGTGGCAGTTGCAGTTGCAAGCGTCAAATTGTTGGTGTCTTCGAGACCTGCCAGCAAATTGCCCGTGATATTCAGTGCTTTCAATAAGTCAGCCATTATTTAGAATCTTATATTTTGCGTGTGTTTTTTTTAGATGATTTCACTTCGGTTTGGGTTTTGGTTTTGGTTTCTAAGACGCGTTTCTATTTCTCACAACTCAGCCGCGATGCTGGAGCTTCATTGCGCGACTAAAAACGCCTGTCGAGTGTAAAGTTGCAAATTTGATGGCCCGCTTTTTGTCGGCACTCCCGTATGGCATATAGATTTTATTTTATTTAATCTCCAGCCTCTACTTTATGCCGTTTTTCACTTTTCAACTAATTGTGTTAACGCATCGGTGTTAATTCGCCTCACGCATCTCGTACGGTTTTTGTTGAAAATAGTCGCTGAATATATCGCAGATACTGGCCGCTCTCATTGCTGATTTGTTGTTCAAATATTGATCGTTGGCATTAAAGCTCTCCTTTTTTTTCATAGTACATACATGCATATAGATATTTTTGCTGTTCGCTGTTTGCTGTTTTGCTGCCGGGGAATTTATCTTAGCAATAAACGTGGCCACATACTTCATCTCCTTCGGCTGTCTATCTGTGTGAGTTCGGTTTATTGATTTGCCAAGTGGAAATGAGGGAAAACATTCGTCATGCCTCTGGAGCCCTGCTCTGTTTCGTTTAATCTCTGCCACTTTCGAGGCTGTAAAATCCCCTCATATTTGCCTGGCTAATTCTCGATTACACGTGAAGTGCATATGTAGCTGAATTCAAGGCAGCAAACGTGTGACCTGTCGATTCCTGATTACTTTGTGAGAATTACTTAATGGGGTGTATAATAATGGATTCCTTACTTTGTAAAATATTTTAATAAATTTGATCGTCAAAATCCCAGCAATTTCGAGGCAACTGTACTAATATCTGTTATTAACTGGTGCTACTTGCTTTCGATCGACTAACAACTAGGTAGGCGTAACTATATCCCCCAATCAGATACTTTTCCTGGTCTTGAAGCACATCTCATTTAATGACCGACGACTGTTCTATATTTAGAACAGCTTCAATAACAGTCAATTAGGCCGCTTGTTGTCAGCATCTATAAACATTAATTAAAACCGGGGGGGCCCTATTGAATTTCAGTACAGATATCTGGCCATTTATAGGTATATGTATTCATTTTAAGTAGACCAGGCGGAAAGTATAAGCAATTAATGAATAAATCAAGCGGAAAGTTTCACACTTTGCATACAAAATAATTAAAATTGTATAAATACTAGATCGGAACGGCAACTGATAATGTTGATATAGCCGAAGACACGTGCTTGACAAATCAATTTCATTTCATAACAAATTAAGAATATAATATGCGAATCAAAAATTTTGATCAAAAGCCGATGGACAATGACATTTAATAATGGTGTTGACATTTCATTGATAAAAACTCTTATTGGCTTTTTAATTCTTTAATTATTTCTGGAATAAATTGTAATCTGGGTGTACCAATTTACAAAAATAATATTAAGTGCTTGAAGGATAAAATCCAACTTTTTTATATAAACAGCAAATCAGCAAACATGCAATATTGAAAAGTAGGAAGTGGCTTCCTTTGCATTTCATTTAAGCTTACTTTTCATTGACTGCACTTAGAAATCATTTTCACTTAATATCCTCTATTTAAAGTTTTATATGTTTCAATTTTCAAGTTGTTTTTTCACTTCTTAGTTTATATTTTTGATTATTTTACTTCAAATATTTGGCGCCAGCCGATTTAGGCTCTTTAGTTTTGTTTTCACGACCTCTATCAACAATAACAAATGATTAAACAACTCGCGGAGTACTTGTGGCCGTTTGTTATTGTATTGCCAAATGAACCGAACTCGCGCGCTTGTTTACAACGATTAAAACTGCTTTCTTGCGTCTTGCAATTATAGCCACGTTAACAGCGAGAAGTTAACTGCCGCCAGCGGTGACAGCGCGACGTCGACTGCGACCGCGACAACGCTTCTCTAAAGACGTCGACTGCCGGCATCGCAAACAAACCGAATGAATGAATTGCCAACTGACTAGCCGACTAGCCAGCTGATTAACTGACTGACTGACTGACTGACGGAACCTAGGCTGATGCTGAGATTCAGATACGGCTACGGATCGAGATTGGGATTGAGCTATGTCTGGACCGAACTGCTTTTGACGTGAAGACGTCGTCAAAAACTTAATCAACTTAGACAACGCCTTCGCAGGTCCCCGCAGATTAGGTTGACACTCAAAAATAATAGTATCCGTATTTTGCTAGGTTTTTGTATGTTTTTAATTTGTAATATGCTAATGCAAAAGGTGTGTTTTCATCAACGCAAGGTAGTATTGCAACTTTTTATCAGTTTGCCGCTACAAAAAATGGTATCTCATCTTTTATCATTAACATTACAGAATAAAACATGAACTTTGAACAACTCGTAAATTAAAAATGTATTAGTATTCAGTTATTTAGTTCATAATATTTCTTGAAAATCAACTCCGCGAATATCATTAACATTCAATAAAATGTTTAGTTTATTAGTTTACATTTTAGTATACCCGGAAATAATGTTTGATGTTTTTTTTCTATGTGCAGTTGTTCAACAGCAAAAAACTAGCAACTCAATAATCATTGCGAAGCCGATTGCAGCAATTGACTTTGCTTGATTGTAAATTTGTTCTTTGATTTATTTGTTTATTTCGTTATGTTTTGATTTATGTGGTGCTTGTCGCTACTGCTTTTCTTTAAATTGTATTTGCTATTATAACCTTTGTTGCTTGGGATTTTAATTTAGTTTAAATTTGTTACACGGATGTTACACTTATCTCTCAATTGCATATTGAATTCTTGATAATTAACAATTATAATAGTTACGTAAGGGTTAAAGTTCTTATTTAAATGAACTTACAATTATTTTAATTTTTCTTAATATATTCCATTCACAATAAGATATAATTGAATATTATTTTTGCATCTAGTGAAAGCAATCGTTTTTTTTTAGTTCGTGTTTTATTAGTTACTATAATTTACGTTTCCCCTTCAAGCATTTATTCTAATCATTTCTTATAATTGCGTACTTTCCATTCACACAATTTATTTAGCATTTCCTCACAAATATGTTCACTCTTGCTTAAGCATTGTTTGCGTTCTATTTTATGAACATATATTTGTATGTATGTATATACGCTTTCAGCAAACACTTTAATGCAATTGCCTTTGATTTATTTTTCGTTGCACTTCTGCTGGAAATATCAGGAATTCTTCTTCTAATCCGACCATGCATATTTCATGTTTATTGCATATCATTTACATTTAATTTTATGCATTGGCATTATGCTGCTGAAACGTGAGCATTTCATGGACAATTTTGCAGCGAGTATTTTATTAGTTTCAGGCAACATTTGTTGTTCGGCTGTTGCAGTGCATGTTTTATTATCTTTTGGGTGTTTATTAAAATTTGCATTTAATTATTTCGTTTCATTTTGTTATTTGCATTTTGTGGTTGCCGCACTCTGCTGGCGATGTTCTAATGCGGCGCCTAAGTCTGAAATGTTGTAGGACAATTTCAATTAAGTTGGGCCTTAATGCGATTACATAATGCCCAAGGGGCGTGGTTAAAAGTTGTTTTGTCTGTATGCTTAGTGGAAGTAATTTTTCTGGTGTGTGCGGTTAACTATTTGTAAATCACAAATTGATTCGATCGAATGGCTGATTATGAATTTTCCATTTGCTAATATTGACTTTCGTGTGTGGGATTTTGTATTTATGAGCATCAATTGCAATTAGCATTCTGCACAGGCTTAGTGACGCATGATTAGAGCTTTATCAATTTCGAATTATTTTATTGATACTAGCACTTAAAGTTCAAATACTGTTTGTACTTCAAGGGGGCGGTCCTAATCGGTTTTGAAGAGGCTTTGTCACGGGATTTCCAATTGACAGATTACTCGCATTCTTTTTTATGGGGCTCGTAAATGTGTTTGCCACCAATTGCACTGGCAAATCAATCAACAATAGAGCACATTAAAATGGCCTCTTTTTGCACTTTAAATGCTAAAAGCTAAAGCTAAATTGAACGGAAATAATTGGGTTAAAAAGCCTGAATGGGAAATGGGAACAATAACTGATTGAGTTATTGTTTTAAATTCATATAAATGATATTTATTTCTAAAGCCACTCATATGTGGCTTTGTTTTTATGTGCTTTGTATTTATTTATTAGTGTTTCCAGGTCAGTTTGGTGAGCCTTCCCCTTGGGCACTTCGCTCTAACATTTATCTCGAGTGTATGTGTGCTCATGATTTATTTGGAGTAACCGGTTGCATTGTTTATCACGGCGATTCCTTATCTCGAGTGGCTCACTAATCATCTTGACAGCTTATACATACGTCAGAATACTATTTACGTTCTTCATTAAACATGTGCTAAATACTTTTTGTTTAAGAAAAGCAACAAATGTGTTTTTAATGCGAGGCGATATTTGTGTTTTTAAATGTCGGTTCGAATTGGTTTAAGCTGGAATTTTGCATGGTCTTTACATTAGCTTGCCAATAAAGATTCAGAGGCTATAATTAATTCTTTACGGATGTAATCAACACATTATTACGGAAGATGAATAATTTCCTTAATAATCATTTCACAAAAGTAATAATGGATCATATATATTTTATAAAATTGTTAAACGATTACAGTTAGCCACTGTTTTTTTTTAATAGAGGGAAAGGAACTACAAATATTTTTTAAAATTTAAGAAGTTTTGCATTTTACAATTTACAAAGATCCTTTCTAATTTTACATGGATTTTACGTTTCGAACTCTCCACAGTGTATCAATCGTTAGCAAAGTTCTCAACCGCGGATCTATTTGGGTCAGTAAACTCTACCCTAATCAAAACAAACTCACCATGCTATTAATTTTTTATTCTCAGTCAGCCTCGATGAAAATTCCCCAATAAAATTAACACAAAACCAGGCGTAAACGTGCAGTTAATATTTGTATAATTAAAATGTTTACCATCATATTTTTTGCGTGCCAGACGCCGGCAGGCAGCTGTGAACAGGTGTGAACCGGTTGCGCATGCGCAAGACAGAATGATCAAGTGACACGGCTCACGTGATGACGCCAAAAGTTACACACAACTTATTCAACCAGTTTGGGTATTTCTGCACTATAATTAACCGAAATGTGTCACAACACTTGTTGCCAACGGCTTTGGATAAAACAACAAACGAGGGCAACAGGCAAATGATAATGGACCGCCACTAAGTCTGGTGATAAGATCGGGATAAAAAAATATCAAACACATAAATCCATCACCCCTGGAATTTGATGTCGTCTATATGGATTACCGCTTGAAAAGTTCACAGTCACGCTGATTAAGGCATCAATGAGGTAATTCTACGATGGTTCAATGTGCCTGTTATTAACCCCCCGGGAATTTCCTATGTCAGCAGCGATACGAACATTCCAGCCAGTTGAATATACTTGGTAAATAGTCAGCGTTATTTGCGCTTTACTCGCTTCACTTCGCCGCGGGGAAAGGTGAGCAAACAAAGGAAGTGCGAGGGTATGCTAACCGCCTGTAATACACTTAATTATAGAGTTCTGAGTAAGCGGGGTCTTTGAACGAGGACTGGCCGCCGAGCGAGATAATGCTACTGAATTATGAAATAGTTGGGTAACACATAGGAAAAGATAATCACACAGAGCTAAAGAATTGTAATGCAATTTATTGATTTATTTAAATGAAAGTTAAGGCATTTTATTGTTCGAAACTAATAATTATTTTGCCGATTGTTAGATATAGTTTAAAACACAAAAAATATATGGTTAAAAAGTGAACTAACGTAAGATAAACAGTTTTTATTTTGTAAATAAAATTATAAATGCTATGTACCTAATTCTAGATTCTCATTTATACATCCATCTTCAGTACGTAAAATTATTTTATTGTAATATCAAAAGGAAGGTAACTTATTTCCCGGAAAAATCATATTAAATATTCAATAATAGTTGAGTAACCCTCTTTAGCATATTCCTATAATCTCCTGGCACCAGAGAAATCCAACTTTCCTTTTATTAAAAAATCCCAGTTTCCCTAACACACTCGACTCCATTCAATAGCGAAGACCTTGTCTCAGTCAGATCCCTTATTGGCAACTCTATCGCAACAATCTTTTATCCAAACACAACAAGCCGCATCCTCGGTCTCCGACCCTTCGAACAAATGCCGTCAGTTGTTCGACACTCCGGGTTTCCCGGCACTCTACCACTCTCCGCTTCCCCGGTTCTCCGGTTCCTTTAAGCCAATTTGTAAACCATCAAATCGCGTTAAATGCGCTTTTCCGGTCGCGGCCTCTTTTCCTCTTTTATCTCCGTCTGACTGCCGCAGAGGAGAAAAATCTCATTGTTATTGTTTTGCTTGCTAAACGGAAATGGTTAGGCTGACAGCGGGCTGTATCCTTTTCGGCTTTGCACCTCCGACAGGTACAAGGACGACATATGCCTTGATAAGGATGCAATCGTTCGCGCTCCTCGCAACTTATTGATCTGTTTGCCTTTGGGCCATTCCATTCCTTTGTGGCATCGCATCTGTGAGAACGGAAATTGAAAGGCGGTTGGGGAATGGATTCCTTATAGAGTTATGCAAGCGTTTTCTCCCTCAATAGGAGATTGTCACCAGGCAAGTACTACACTACACTCTTCATGCCTTTTTTACGCCCAACCTCTATTTGAACTTCCGTCGGAACACAAACGACCAAACGACCCGAAAACCGTGGCCAATGCACTCGGCTCATAAACAGTAGCCAGGTTGCCAGGTCGGTTTTGACCCGATTCTGTTCATAAAATGTCTGAAAAATGAGCGTGTAATTTACGAGCTGTTTGTCAACAAAGCAGGAAAATCTATTTTGTATTTTACGAGCCGAAAGAACTTAAAACTGGAACCGAAACTGACCAGCGGCAGCCTAATGAGGCGTTTTTGATCGCTTCCGCTTGGAGTT